TCTTCACAAGAAAAGAAAGAAACAAAGCAGTTCCACTTGGCTCCTGGAAGTGCCAGCGACCAGAATTCTAGGACTTTTGAACCTGAGGCATCTGCACCTTTGGAAAGGTGTGTTGGCAGCGGAGCCGATTCCCGGGCATGAGCTGCGAGTTGGTAAAAGCAGTTGCTGCTGTTCCAGCTCCCGCCACTTCGCCTTTTTCCTCTCAGGCTCCCTCTGCCTCCCTCTCGCTCTGCCAGGGCTCCAGCAGCACTCTGCACTGATGCACACGTTCTCCTCTGTCTCTGTCCCTGCAGCTCAGCAGCTCACATGACTTCTGTCTAAACCCTGAGAGGCAGATAAATTAAAAGAAAAGCAAAAAAAAAATAAGTCCTGCAATGAATGAATGCTTATTTTTTTTATACACTTTTACAAGTTGCCTTTCCTCATTCCTCCCAAACTCCTAGGCCTCCAGCAATGATCCTCTCTACTTTATTGAATCCCACATGATTTTACAGAATAGAAGCTGCTGAATAAAACAAGAATTTTCAGTTTAGATGCCTTGCCTTGTCCATCAGTTCTTTCATGCCTCAGCTTCACAGTTGTGCATCCAAAACACTTCTCACTGGCTGGTTGTGCCTCTCGTCCTTTATAACTGCAACCTGGAGGAAAGTCAGAAGCTGGCTACCAAAGCAGAGAAAGGCACCCAGATTACTGTCCTTAATTTATTCAAGCTGTCCCACACTGTGTGAGAAGCCAAGAATTCCCTGTAGCACAGCTGGAGCTCTGCTCTCCACAGGCTCCAGCTGCAGCCAGGGATGAAGAGATGGTATGTGCAGAAATCATGCTCCTCAGAGCTTATCCCTAATATGCTTTATCAAGCAGGAGTTGGGAATACACGAGTCTGTGTTCAGGATATCCTCTCGTGTTCCTCTTGAGTGCCTGTGATAATGCTAATTTCTAAAACATTTTTTTAAAACCTATAATCAAGAAGAGAAATCATGTCAGCTGTAGAGTCAAGAGTCATATTGAAGTTTAAAAGGTACAGAAACCCCTTGTGTCAACGTGGTGACAGTTTGACTCCAGTCACTGCTTCCTCCAGAACATCAGAATCTACTCACTATCATTTGTGCAGAGTGCTCTAAAAGTTTCACTCTTAATTAAGAGTTAGAAATTGCAAAACAGCAAATACATGATAAAAACTCTCCCAAACCTGGGACAATAATAATTTATTGGAAGATAAATGTAGGTCCTAACATAAAATAAACCCTCTGCTTTTTTATTCTTCGCATTCCATGGGCTTCTACAAATGTGCTGAAGGGAATTGCTATATAGATACTTAATTTCATATATAGCTTTCCTTGGCAATTTTCAACTTCTTGTTAATATTTTCCTTGAACTTCTCCACACACAATCCAATATACAGGAGGGCTAGAAGACAGCAATATTTTAGCATTTATTGATAATTCATCTTTTATGAGCAACCATTTTGTTTAGATAAGCACCTTGAATTTGAGCGTATACAACTGCAAAATAATCAATAAAATGGATTCTATGGGTTAGGCTGAAATGTGGGAGCAAGGATCAATAGTTTGCCACTCTGCAATTGCTACAGGTGGATCAGAAACTTATATGGGGAAGTCTATTATTGCACTGCATAAGTCTAAAGCACAGATTATGTAAAACACTCAGTAAGACTAAAAGCAGACTCAAAAGTTTTTCAAGCATCAGTGGCTGGACAGCAAGCTCCACTTTTTCTAGTTATATTCTGTGCTGAAATTCTCCAGTGATGTTAGAGCTAGCACACACACACAAAAAGATACGTTCACAGCTACAGTCACTGACCCTTAATGGAGTTCCCGTTGGGACTGGAATGAGATGGCATCCAACCACAACACTGCCAATTACAGGGTGAGCCAGTGACAACATTTAAGCTGTATGGTGCATTCTGTCTGTGTGTAGTCTGCATCCTCAAAGGTTCAACTCTGACTCCTGGTAGCTGCAGGATGTTGCAATCCAGCAAAAGCAATGCACTTGGATAAAGAAATGCCTTTTATTCTGAAAGTCAAGACAAATTTACATGAACTGTTCAAAATCTTTTCCTTTCTTGTGCTTGCTTTCTTGATGAAAACTTTAGTATCTGGATTATCAGCACTAGGTGGTCTCACCACAGGTACTGGAAACACCTGCAATGATATCAACAGAAAAAAGAAGGGCAGAGGCTGAACCACACTCCATCACCATCTTAGAATCACAGAATGTCTTGTGTTGGAAGGGATCTCTAAATGTTATCTAGTCCAACCCCCCTACAATAAGCAGGTAGAGCTCCAACTAGAAGAGATTTCTCAGAACCCCATCAAGCCTGACCTTGAATTTCTCCAGGGATGGGGCCCTCTGCCACCCCTCTAGGCAACCTGTTCCAGTGATCCACCACCCTCATAGTGAAGAACTTTTTGCTAATGCCCAACCTAAACCTACCCTTCTCTAGCTTGAAAACATTACCCCTTTTCCTATCATTACATGCCCTTCTGAACATGTCTTCCCAGCTCTCTTATAGGCCCCTTTCAGGTACTGGACGGTTGCTATAAGGTCCCCCCAGAGTCTTCTCTTCTTCTGGCTGAACAACCCCAACTCCCTCAGCCTGTCTTCAGAGTAGAGACACTCCAGCCCTTTGATGCCTTTTTGCTGCCTTCCTCTGGACACTCTCCAACAGGTCCACATCCTTCTTGTGTTGGGGGCTCCAGAGCTGGACACAGTACTCCAGGTGAGGTCTCACCAGGCTACAGTAGAGGTACAGAATCACTTCTCTTGATCTGCTGGCCACACTTCTTTTGATGCAGCCCGGGATGGTGGCTCGTGTCCAGCTTTTGATCCACTAATATCCCCAGGTCTTTTTCCACAGGGCTGTTCTCTAGCCTGTATTAAAATCTCTGGTTACCTTGGCTCAGGTGCAGGACCCTGCACTTGACCTTGTTGAATCCCATGAGTTTCCCCTGGGCCCATTTCTCTAACTCGTCCAGGTCCCTCTGGATGGCATCCCACCTTTCTGGTGTATTGATTGTACCACCCAGCTTCATGTCATAAGCAAACTTGCTGAGGGTGCTCTCAGTGCCACTGTGTATCATTAATGAAGACATTAAACAACACTGGACCCAGCACTGACCCCTGAGGGACATCACTTGTCACCATTTTCCATCTGGACATTGAGCCATTGACCACTACCTTCTGAATGTGACCATTCAGCCAATTCCTTCTCCACTGAATAGTCCACCCATATCCCTCCAACTTAGAGAGAAGGATGTTACGGTGGACGGTGTCAAAGGCCTTGCAAAATCCAGATAGATGACATTTGTAGGTCTTCCCTTGTCCACTGATGCAGTCACTCCATTGTAGAAAGTCTCCCCTTCAACACAAAACTACTCGTTGCTTCTTTGTCCTTCCCAATAACACTGCAGAAAAGAGCAGGAGTCTCCTGAAGTCGAGGGAAGAGAGTGTCTCTATGCCCTCAGAGGAATCACATTAGAAAAAAGGCCCTGTTCTTTCAAAGGAAAGCAAGGAAAGATCCAGGGAAGACAGCACAAATGCACAGTCTCACCACTCAGCTACAACATTCTTCCAGCACTGTCATTACAAACCTGTGGCTCAAGTGCTCCCAGATTTTCTTACTATAGCACTGAAGAGTCACTAGACTTTGGGAGACACAACAGAAATCTTCTGGTCTTCTTTTCATTAAAAAAAACCAAAACTATAGACCAAATTCTGTATTTAGGGAACATTGTTTAAGCTATGAATTCCTGCCCTCAAAAGTGAGGAAATAC